TGAAGGCTAAACTAGGCAGAGTTTTTTATGTGGCACATGTGATGCATGGCTGCACATCTGCACATCCTTCTCAGGGCAGAAACGGGACGTGCTCGTGTGGAGGAAATCCAAGATCCGTTTAAAAAAAGAAGAGTTGCTTTTATTTGTAAAAGGGAGATAGGTCTCTGCGATGCCGAATGTGGTTTTACTTCTATTTCTGCTTGATGAAAGTTTGGGATGTATCACGTTCTGTTCAGATGCCTTGGTGTGTCCTTATCATCACATACGTGCTGCCTTTCCTCAGCCCTGGTTCTAGCAGGAGGTGGAGATGGGCTCTGTGGCCACTCCTGGGTGTGAAGCAGCTCTGTCCTGCTGTTCACATCCTGAAGGTGACCCGTGATTTATAGGAGAAATGGGGAGACGTGGCTGAGACTGCACAGATACGTGTGGGGTGGGGAAGCCTGGTATGAGAAAAAGGCTGAGGGTGAAGCACATAGATGCATTTTTTCCCTTTCCCCTGCCCCCCTTCTTGTTCAAAACTCTGTAGCCTGGACTCTGAACGGAGCAATGCAGCTGAGGAATTACATGAATGTATGGGAGGGAGAGGCTTGTGGAGTATCTCTGGCTGCCTTCGACCGACACATTGCTGTTTCAGAGCTAGGACAATTCTCCCGAGGCAAGGCTGAAATAAACTTCAGGCTGTGACATAATGATTCTTGATTTTATTTCTTTTCTCAGTCTCCCTGTATTGTACTGCTATCCACACCCCCTTCCTTTTTCAGTGGGATGATGACCCCCGCTGTAATCTTTGCTATCCAGCCACGTTATTCCTAAGGCATGGAAACCCATGACTTCTGTGGTGGCCTGACACCAGTGGTCCTGAATGACATGAGTGGAGGCATTATCTGTGTATTTCAGCATGCTTGACTCAGTCACACAGAGCCATTATATGCCACTAATAAGTGATTAATTTCTTGGCAGAAGGTCAAGTGGGTGAGGGAGCTGTAGTCTTTGGAGGGTGTCCTCTTCCCTGTCGTGTGACAGGGTGAGCTGCACATCTCCTGCCAGCAGTCAGGGCCCTTTATAAGTGTGTGATAAATGCAATATGAAATAAAGCCTGGCAGCTCTGCTTGGCAGCAGATGAACTTGTTGATGGTCCTAGGCCATGTTCTGCACTGATGTTGTGTCTGGCACTGCAAGAGGGCAATGCAGGCTGCTGTGGATTGCATGGAAGGGGAAGGTGCCTTGCACTGGTTTCTGGCATCTCCCTTTCCCCAAACCTCAACAGAATGGAAATGGGATGGCTGCTGGGGGAGGCAGGACTGCCCTTCCCAGTTCTTCTCTAATTCATGCAGCTTCCAGGGCGTATTTCCAGCTGTGGTGGACGCTGGGTTTTTCACAGGTGATGGGGCAATGTATCTTCTGGGGTTGCATTTGGCTCCTCCTAAATCCTGTTCCCAAAACCTCTTCCCTCTTATACCCTGGCTTTGTGGGGGCGACCTACTCAATAGAGGCAGCAACCAGAGCCAACACACTCCTGGCCTGGTATCTGGGTGAGCTGAGGAGACAGGAATGTCCAGTGAGCTGGTAGAGGGTTCCTGAGTTTTTCTGGCGCAGTTCTGCAAAGCCCAAAGCCTCTGGGAGGCATTAGATTTTCCTTTCTGGAATTAGCTTTAGTGCTGAAGGTTGGGTTTGGGCCAGCAAAGCTTCCTTTGAGCTGTCAACCATGCAAAAGACTCCTCGAGTCTGCAGAGTTTCCCTTAAACACAGCTCATCTGATGCCAGAAATTTCCCTTGCCTGAATATTAAAATCTCCTCAAGTGCCGGTGAGGAAGTGCCCGAAGGAAACGTGACCTTGCCAGCCATGCTGGCTTGTCTGGAGCGGGTGTTTGTGGCCATGTGGAACAGGGCAGCCCAAGTATGGGTGCCTGTATTGCTGTGCTGCAGGAAGAGGTGTTTTGTAGTGCAAACAGAAATAAAGCCCCTCCCTTGGCTGGGGGTCCAGAGGGAGGTGAGGTCAAGAGCTGGATGTGAAGCAGGCAGCTGGCCCCGGTCAGAGCAGAAATCTCAGCATCCCCAGTGCTTGGCAGGCAGTGTCTGTGTGGGCACAGCTGATCCAGGGTGTTTTCAGCTCATCCTTATGTCTGCAGGATGGCCTCGGGAAGAGAGAAACCCATTCCACAAAGCGTTTGCCTCAACTAAGGCCTCCGAAAGCTGTTGGCAGAGATGTAGGGACCATGTAAGAGAAATGACGCAGCCCTGTGACCAGCTCTTGCTGGAGCAAATCTTGCCACAGCTCTGGGCTGCTGGGGCCACTGAGGTCTCTCTACTTTTTCTCCTCCCTTTTCCAGTCACACTAAAGGCTGTTTAAGGGGGTGAATTTCCTTTCACATTGTATGAAAGTCCCTCAATAGAGGGATTTTATTAAGGCAGGTGGCTGGATGGAGGAGTTCAGCATGCTCATCTTGCAACTCCTCAAGATTGCGTTCCCATTCCATTCCATTTCCCCATCCTGTGATGGCTGAATTGAAGTTGGGAGCTTTTGATCCCACTGGCAGTTGTGAGTCTGCTTCTTCCCCAAACCTCCCCAGCTTGGGACCAACCTGGGACAGTGCTGGCTGGAGGTGAAGATGTGTGGGATCAGCCTGAACCTGAATTAATTATTTCTAGAATTGGGAAAGATGGTTGTGAAATGCCACAGTGGGCTGAGCATGTTGAGTTCCTGAATGTGGTTGTGAACAATTAGAGCAAATGGGAGACCGTGGCCCCGTTTTAGTAAATGGAACCATTTGGAAATTAAATCTTTCCACCTTTTTGCTTTGAAAGGCAATTTAACAGCTGACCCCCTGCTCACACTTGTGCTTGTCCAAATTGAAATAGCACATTTTGTCTGGGGTCCAGCAAAACCCCTGTAGCTGACCCAAACACAAGGACTTTGGCAAGGCTTAGTTTCTCGTTTGCTTGTGTTTTTTGCTTCATTTTGTTTTGTTTGTTTTTCACTAAAGACAAATATTTGTGCTGCTAGGTCAGTCCAAAAGTAATCGTCCTTTTTTCTCTGCTTGTCAGTGTGATTACTGAACCCCAACGCATCCCTTATTAAACCTCACTCCCCTACCAGCCTGTTTGAGCATGACAGAGAGCTCAGAATCTGAAAATAAACCCGGTTTAGGTGTTTTCTGGAGGGTGCTGGTATTTTTGAATCTGTGGGGGCTTTATCTGCAGCCCTTATTGCTGAGCAGAGGCATACTGTTCCCAGCACCGCAGCCCCCCCAGGATGCTCAGAGTGTCTGAGACACATCCCAGCACAGCAGTGGGCAACCTGGAAGGTGGAATTGCTCTGTGACAAAGCTGGATTGCTCTATGGTAAAGGGAGCTGGGAAAGTTATTTCTGTGCTTTTGCAGAAAAATCCTTCTCCCCAAAACAGTCGCCCCCGGCTCTGTCCTCAGCCTGTTCGAAGGATGCAGGGACAGAATAGCGAGCCGGTGAGGTCATGGGGAGAGAGTTAGTCACATCCAACTGGGAAAGGGAGAGGGCTGCCAACCAGTGTTGCTCTCACAGTGTGGAAAGCTCATGTGGTTCAGAAGGGACCCCCCTCCTCCAGGCTCCCTAGAGCACCCTGGCCAAGCTGGGGGCGTTGGTGGAGCACCACCTCTGCAACTTCCCAAGGAACTGGAGGAGGGAGTGAAAGGTTTTAATCAAAACCCAACTTGCTCTGGCATAAACATGGACTTTCCTTCTCGTAACTGGGGCGATATGGGCAAGAGGGGGTTAAGAGCCTTTCTGAATTGGAGACTATCTGGAGCTGTCGCACAAGGGAGGGAGATCATGGCAGAGTTTAATGAATGACTTCATTTATATATTAAAAAAAAAAACAAAACAACAACATGGTGGCTTACTGCCAGGTCCACAGACAAGGGTTTCTATGGGAACCTGAGGAAAAATAATAAATAGGAGTGTGGGATGAGTAGGGAAGGGAGGAGGGGAGTCCAGGCTCTGCTCTGGGTCTGTTTTGTTCCTCATGAAAAGCAAGGTGGCAAGGGGCGATGAGGGGGTAAAAAGGGAAAGAGCTGAATTTGGTGCTTGCAGAAAGACCCCACCCAAAATAAGGCAGGCAATAACTACACGGCAGTGGAGCATTCTCCTGGACTAGTCCTGGGGTCTACTTTGTTTCCTGCTCCTCCATGGGCATGGGCAACCTTTCTTCACTGGGCTCACAACCTGGCTTTGCTGCCTTTTTTGGTTTCTTTTGAAGTTCAGGACAGATACCCCGCTACCCCAGCAATGGTGGGGGGAAAGCCCTTTGGGATCAACTGATGAAAAAGGTAGCCTTTCTAAGTAAACAAGTCTCAACTAAGGCATTTCTGTTTGGTTTCTTCCCCATTTTCGTTTCCACAGGCTCTTTGTTCCAATCTGAATAATGTTGCACTGTGTCTCCCACTGAGCAGGTTCATCCTAAGAGGACAGTGTGCCTGAGGTGGGGAAGTGCAGGTTGGGCTGGGTCCTGCTGCTGCTGGGAGATTGACTTCCCAGCTCCCATGTGTGTGCCTTCCTGAAAGACATTTCTGTAAACAGGTTTGAAAATGCCAGGGGAAACAGCCTTTGTGTCTGTTTTGGACCTGGCTGACTCAGGGGTGAGTGGAGTGAGGAGGCATCTGCCCCAGAATCAGTCCCAGCATCAGCCCTGTGTACCACAGATCAGACCTGCCCAGCTCCAGCTGCCATCACAGGCCCTTTGGGTGAGTGGTGGCCACCCCATGGCATGTCCCTTTCTGCCTGAATCTCAGCTGGTGCTGCCAGTGGAGCAGGAACCGATCTCACGTGGGGAGTGACTGGACTGGCGTTATCAGCAGAGAAGGAATGTGGCATCCACCTTATCACTTCCTTGGGGATGCAAAAGGCTGTTCTGCTGATAGAGGCATTATTATCCAGCAGTAGAGATGTCTGGGAGAAGCCAGGGCAGGTTTTTCTTCTCCCCAGGGGTGGCAGGAAGCCAGGCAGGGCAGAGAAGGACATAGGTGCTGCCTTCCGCCGCTGTTTCTTTGGCTCCTGGTCAGGCAGAAGCAGCTCGACTGCCTAAGGAAACTCATCCCCAGGGTACAGATCTTGCCTTCCATGGGCCAAAGCTTGAGATGAAGGTGTTGGATTTCTTACAGCAATGCAAGAGCCTTTACAAACCTTTCAGACATCTTGCAGCACTGCAGGACCATTTACAAACCCTTCCAGGGGTGCAAGGCTGCTTTTGCAGGGAATGGTGCTTTTCGGTGGGCTTCAGCCCACAGGCAGGTAGGAAGAGGATATGTACCACATCTTCTTTCTAGAGACTTGCAGGCTCTCCTGCACCCCTCTCCCAGTCCCTATGTCCCACCTTATCCTTGTCCATCAGTCCATCCCAGTGCGGAGCTGTACTGCTGGAGGTGAGGATGCCGCTTGGAGGATCACTGCTCATGGTGGGACCGCTCCTCTGCTTGCTGGGGGGAGCCCAGGCACCTCAGAGGATTGTTACCAGGTTTCACAGGACTGCCGGATGGCATTAAAGATGGGTTTTCCCTCTGGCTTGGCAGGCTGACAGCACAGTGGAGCGTGGAAGATGAGGAGGAGGCGGCGAGAGAGCGGCGGCGGCGGGAGCGGGAGAAGCAGCTGCGGTCCCAGGCAGAAGAGGGCTTGAATGGCACCGTCTCCTGCTCGGAGAGTGCAGCTCTGGCTCAGGAAAACCAGTAAGAAATACCTGTGGATAAATCCTTCAGCAGCACACTTTTTCCTTGCAGGAAACCCCACCTGCAGGCACTGAGTGTGTGTCCCTGTTATTTGGGGTGGTTTGGGGAAGATGGGGAAGTTCTCTAATAGGTTTGGGCTGGGGGATTTAACGCACACTAGAAAATCGTGTGCTTTCTTGTTTGGGCAGAAAACCCCAGAAGTCCTGCTTTGATAATTTTCTTGGCTGGAGACTTGTGGGTTTTACTGCCCAGAGAGTTTACCCTGGGACAGCTTGGGGCAGGGTTTCCCCATTGCCAATGATTTCAGTGCTTGGTTAAATTTCAACTTGGGAGTCATCCTACACCATAAGTAATGGAGTTTCCTGATATGTGCAAAGACAGATGTGTCTGAGGATGAGATGCACAACCCCAGGCAGATCACAGTGCAAGAAATCACCTATCCTGGCTGGGCTTCCCATTCCTCCCTTGGAGGATGCTGCCCTGGCACTGGGAAGCATGAAGCAGCACCTGAGCTGGTGCAGTTCACAGCTCCAAGGGTTAGAATTAACTTTGTGCTTTAATAGGGTGAGTCCTAAATGGAAATAGCTCAGGAGGCATTTATGGAGATGCTGAACTATCTGCTGTTAAAGAGGAAACACCTGGAGAAGGGATAGGGTGACATCCCCAGCATCAAACACCTCATCCTACTGCAGCCTCCCCATGTCCACTGTTCAGCAGCCCAGATGCAGTACAACACTGGGGCTAGCACAAAAACTAGTCTGCACTCTGAATTGCCAAATTCTTGTCTCAAAGTCCTCAGTCTTAGCACTATTTATGTGTTAAGCTTATTTCTAAATCTGTTGAACACAATGGAAAAGTGGTGGCAGGGTTTGGAGTTATAGTCACAGAGAAGCAACGTCTTCATTTTACTGAAAATATATCTAAAGTTATTTATGAAAATCTATTATTTTTCCATTAAAATATTTTTTTTTCCAATATACTTCCAAAATTATTCAGGATTTCTTTTATTTTTTTTTTAATTTTTTTTTATTTTTTTAAATATAAAAGCACTGCAAAACACCTTCACAGTCTTTTGTGGAAGTACAGATGGTGATTTTCTGTGGACAAAACCACTGCAGTCTACTCTAAAAGCAAACAGAAGGTCTGGAAAGTAATAATAGTCATTAGCTTTTCCAAACCCCCCCTCATGTGGGGGCTAGGAAATAATTTGGAAAGGTCTTTAAAACAGCAGCTGAGATCTCTGGTCTCTGCTTTGCTGGTTGGTGCTGTGAGCAGCCTCAGGCCAGAGCAGTGTGCAGCAGCCCCAGTAACCCAGCTTGTAGGCCCCAGTCCTGCTGGCATGGGCACAGCCGTGCTGCTGGCCCCACAGGACCATTGGCATTGCCCAAATTTAACTGAGTGCTTAAGAGGGCAATGACAAGAACAACTCCTAAAATGAAGGGGTTTGGTCCCTGCTCTATGATGCCAAAGCTTGCTGGGCCAGGCTCGACCACAAGGATGTTTCTTCTTCTCTGGCTGTTCCCTGGTTTTGTTTACAGCTGCTGACAGCCACCTGGGCTTGCTCATGCAGCCAGGGTCAGCCCTGGCTATTAATCTTCTGAAGAGCTTCATTCTCTCTTGTGTACATCCTGCCCCCTCCTTCCTGTGACTCTTCCCACACAGGGACTCATCCTATCCAGGTCACTCCCCTTAGTTCAAACCCACCCCTGCATTTCCTTGCTCCAAAGGGATGGAGTGAACCTCCTGTTCTCCCTTAGCCCTGCTGAAGAAAACCAGAAATAGTCAGGAGAAGAGAGGGTTTGCAGGAAGACAGGGGTGTTCTCGGGAGCCAGAGGGATGGACATCAGCTGAAGTGGTGATGACGGGGCTGTGCTGGCTTTGTGCTTCTCCTGGGATTGTGTTTGTAGAGGGACACAGGGAAGTGGCAAGTTTTCTAAGAGCATTCAGCCAGTCTCTCTCGCTCCCTGGGAGCTTTTCTGTTAGCCTGAGCACACATTTGTGGCCAGGGCCACAAATACTGGAATGATTTTGCCATAGCTATCTCCAACACTGCAGCTCACCCAGAGAAGAATAAATGGAAGGAGTGGAAGGAGAGAAGAGCTGTGTCAGGCTGTGGCTCTTTCAGGCCACCTTTAGGCCTTTTGTTATGCCTCTCAATGCTAATCTCCTTCTTGCCGTGTTTCAGCTATGACTTCAAGCCATCTGGGACTTCAGAGCTGGAGGAAGATGAGGGGTTCAGTGACTGGTCCCAGAAGCTTGAGCAGTGCAAGCAGAGGTGGGTAGGACACAGATGAACCAAGGAGAGGGGTACCCATGTCCCCAGCAAAAGGACTGTCCCTGAGGAGGGGTGACCAAAGCCTGCTCAAGACTAGCATGTGTAAGAATGAGTCCAGAGTCTGGAACATCAGCAGGACAGAGCAGGCCCCAGTGCTCTCTGCCTGCCACTTGGGCTAGCAGGGAGGAAGGGCCCAGGAATGGCCCCAGGCTTTGGGGATGTTTGGATTGAGCTTTGTGCTCCAAGCAGTGGCAGCCTGCCAGCACGCCTGGGTTTGGAGGAGTGACAACAGCAGATTTAAGCCACCTGAGCTGCTGCAGGGGCTGAAACACTCTCTAAAATAATCCAGGCCGGCCTAAAAAACTGTTCTAAGTTATTGCTGCTTCCTGGCTCATGTCAGCATAGTGGGTGTTAAGGTCCCAGCCCACCTTGTGCCTGACTCCTCTTTGAGCAGGGAAAAACAGGCAGCAAAGAGCCCCGAGAGGTGCTTGTGTGCCAACTGTTTAGTCCCCATCTCCATCACTCCTCCCTTACAGAACTAAACCAAACTCCTGCCTTAACCACTTCCCTTGGACACCATCTACCTGCACGTGAACTCTGTGACTCAGCTCTCTTGGCAGCTTGATTTTGTAGGGAATTTTTGGCATAGCCTCTTCTTTACCCTGAAGAAATCTTTGCACAGAGAGGTGGTAGATGCCCCTTCTCTGGGAACATTCACGTTGGACAGGGCTCTGAGAAACCTGATCTGATTGAAAAGGTTCCTGGTTATTTCAGAGGGATTGGACTAGATGACCTTTAAAGGTCCTTTCTAGCCCAAACTTTTCTGTGCCTGAAAAAATGCTTAAGATTAATATTTACTGCTGGATAAATAAAAAGAGCTCAAAGTGTCATTACTTTTCTCCAAATGCTGTGGCTAAACCATGCTGCAAGCTGTACCTTTTCAGCCTTGACCCCACGAGCACTTCTCAAGCAGCTCCAAGGCCCAGCACAATGTGATTATAACATCTGTGGGAGCAATTAGAAATCATCTGCTTTTTGGTTTGCTGCCTCTTTTTCCAGCCCCTCTTGCAAAGGGCTTTTCTGGAAAGAAAGGCTACTGCTATTCCCTCCTTGACCTTCAAAAGAGAATTAGTTGGAATTAACATTATCCTCCCCAGGTATTTCTTGCTGGGTTTTTATGTGATGTTTGTGTTTATCCTGTAGAGGGAGGGGAGGTGGTGTTCATGGCAGGTGAAGCCCATCAGTGAGAGGTGGTGCTTTAGAAGCAGGAGCTGTAGCTGTGGCTTGGTTGGGAGAGGCAGCTGAAGGGGCTCAGGCTCTGAGGGCTTGCTGGAGGTAGGCTTTTTGCAAGGGCTGGGTTTTCTTCATAGCAGGGGCTGTGCCTTATAAAGCCCTTTCAGCAGCTTTGTCCTTGGGGACCTGCCTCATCCAAAGAGGAGCTTGGAGTGTGGTGTGAGCACAGGTAGGTGGTGTGTCTGCCTGTGGTGCCCCGTGCTGGGACAAACAGTGCTGTGGTTGGGATTTCCCAGCTCCCTTCATTCCTCTTCAACTGAACATGGAGCAAATAAATCCTGGCTTTTAAGGGGTGGCTGTGAAAGAGTGGATGGAGACAGCTGCTCTCTGTTGGATGGAACTAAACCAGGTCCTGCATCCCCTGAGGGCCTTGGTGCCAAGGCACATTTCCTTTTTGGTCCTGGTTCTCCTCTTTGAGGTAGGAGATCCATGCTGTCAGCTGTGTGCCAGAAGCTGTGCTGGCCTAGCTGCCTCCCATACAACATTGCTGTGGTGTGAAAGGTATCCTGTGGGCTGCACTGTGTTTGCTGGCCCTAATGTTTAATACGAGCTTGCACTTGAGCTGGGGACATTGCTGGCATCCTGGTGGAGAGCTGGTAGCTTCCTGGGCCTTCAGAGCCTGTTTGCTCTCTCTGAGAGGATAATGAGAAGCAGGTCAAGTGGGCCACCACATGTATTATTTTTTTCCCTGTGTGGTCAGTGTGGAGGGCTGGATGGTGGCTGACCTGTGAGCTGCCTTCCCAGCAGCAGAGAGGGGGGTGGAAAGGTCCTGTTGGAACTTGTTTTTGAGTTTTGTTGCTGCCTGTTGAGGGAGGAGCAGTGAGTCAGCCTTGCCCTTTGGCAGCTGCCTGCTAGCCAGCTCTCTAGCCCTGCTCTCTCAAGCCAGGCGATTTTCTAAGAACTGGGAGGAGGAGAAAGCTCTTTTGGCTGGGGAAAGTAAGATGGCAATAACAGCTTGGTGTGTGGCTGTGAGCCAGTGAGAGTCCTGGGGTTCTGTGGTCCCAGTGTCCAAAGGCATGGGCTGCTCTGCTTTTGCAAAGCTGATTGCAGAAACACTCCTGGGTCTCCTCTTGCAGCCTCGGGGACCTGGAGCAATCCTCTTGTACCAAACCCATTGTGGTTTTTTTAACCCCCTGAGCCAAGGGCTGACCCCATCTGATTTGGAACTCCTTTGTTTTGCTGGGTTACAAGATGTGTGATGTGAATAGAGGTGTAATTTTTTCCAGTGGGCAAAACTGAGGTTTGGGATCAGGTGTCAATATGGCATTGCTTGTGAAGCACCGTGCCTTGCCCATGAAATGATTCCAGAGGAGTGGCTCTGCAGCCTTGCCCTAGAGTTTAGTTTCAGCTTGAGAAGCATGTTCATGTGTTGTTGGCTGGGTTCTCCTCCAGCAAGAAACTGTTAACATGGAAGATGAGTTTAGGCAGAGAAGGGCTGTGTTTGGTGCCCCACATTGAATTAATGCTGGGAACCATGGGGGCAGCATCAAATTTGTGTTTGACTGCAGGATGTGCTGGTGCACCCGGGAGAGGATGGAGCCAACACATCACGGTAGCAGCGTCCTCTGTGCCAGGGGTTTGAGCAGAGAGCTCTTCTCTGCTTTCCTATGGGTTTTGCCCATCGTGATGCTGGTAATGTGCAGATACCTTCAGCTCTGCCACAGCTCTTAGCTGAGCTGGTCTTGGACATTTGAAGCGAGGGAATGAAATGTGACTGCTGTTATATCTGGGTGCCTGGAGCTGGCTGTGAGCCCTGGTGTGGAATAGTCAGCAAGCTATAGGCTTGGGGAAGTGATAAAAGTGGATTTTTAGAGGTTGGAGGTATCTCATGGTGTCTGTAGGCTCATAACTGTGCTTTTCTTCTTTGATCTCTTCCCCCACCTCCAGGTCTCCAAGACAGTCATACGAAGAAGAGGACAGTGGTGTGAGGGAAGCTGAAGTCAAACTGGAGCAGATCCAGCTGGATCAGGAAAGCCTGGAGGAGAATATGGTTGGTAGAGAGGAAGGGAGGCTGTGCCAGGAGGAAGAAGAGGCCCAAGAGCAGGAAGAAGGGGAGCAAGCTGAGCAAGAGGTGAGATCAGGAGGAGCTGACCTTCTTTCCAGAGGGCTGGTGGGACAGCTGATGCTGGGGGCTGCTCCCCTGTGTCTTGGTTCACCATTGCTGCTGGAAGTTGAGCCCATGCAGACATTAGATGTGCTTTCATGGCATAACCTGGGGCTGGAGCCACTCTTCCCTGTGTGCTGTGCCTTCTTACAGTCACTGCAGGCAGCCTCTGCCCTTTTGTCAGGGTGGTGTGTTTGCTCCCAGAGTTTGTGGTGGCTTTGCCATGTTCCTGTCCTACTGAGGAGGAAAGTGTTAATTTTCCTGTGGCCTTGTGGGCTGTGAGTAGCTTTACAGGAGAACTCAAATCTAAATTATGCTGCTTGTTTTTTCTCCCCTCAGCCTTTATCACACCTTTGGAGCACTTTGTCTTGATAGATCTCTTAGCCTTGCATTGCTCCCAGCTGAGGTTTTTTTTGTTGTTCTGATAATTCCTTAAGTGGTTAAGTGGGGGGAAAGAGAGACAAAGTTGAAATTGAAGTGGGGGTGCAAGTTAGGGGGCTGAGCTTCAAATATCATTTGTAAATGGATTTTGACTGTCTGGGGCTAGTAAGATTTTTGCATTTGAACTGTGTGTTACTCTTTCCAGCCCTTTTTTCTAAAGGCAGCTTCTCTCCTTTTGGCCTTTAAATGAGAAGTTAATGTTTTCCTATATCAATTGTGGTAAGAGATTTTTATAATTGATGCAAGGACCCCTTTTCATACCATTTGGGAATCTTGAACCTGCAAAATCTCTGATTTCTGCCCTCCCTTCCAAATGGCATATGAGCTTCTTCCTGAATGTTTCCAAATTAGATGATGTTAACTCAAAGTTTCTGTGCTTTTGTGTTTATTTAGTGTAAAGCAGGAAGCCTGGCAGACGGGAAAAATCGCTGTTGTTGCATAATAAGCAGTTTGATCAACTTGCTTCCTGGCTTGTTCTTTTTCTGCACTCAGGAAAAGAAGAGAAGGCGAAATGATGGAGGGAAGGAAGAGGAAACACCAGAGAAACGCCAGAAGGCCCCAAGCCTTACCAGTCTGGAAGAGGAGGAGCTGTGCTCTGACCACACTGCAGTGTGCTCCACAAAGGTTTGTGTTCCTGGGGCCCCTCTGGATGCATGACAACTGTCACAACAGAGGACCTGACTAATGATGAGGAAAGATTATCCAGGGCTTACAGCAACGTGGGGTGTGAATCCCATTATTTGTCCTGCTATGAGCTGAGACAAACCACTTGAGCAATTTGCCTCGTCTTTCATGGCTGTCAAACTCCTCTCCTCCTGCTTTGCCTGCTTGAGCTGTTGGAGGCTGTAGCAATCACTCTAAAAGTCTAAAGTTCATTGAGGGCTCCAGGGAATAATTGGGATACTGAGATACCTGTGCTTTCAGCTTGTGTTGTCTTTAACAAAATTCACAAGAACCTAATCTTAATCAAGTCTCCCTTCCAAAGGCAAAAAGCCCCAATAACTGAAACAATGGCATTTCTCTTACTTAGAGCAAAATGTGACTTAAATTGTTTAAACAAATGGGGATTTCTGATCTTTGAAGCATTGTGTCCTTCCCAATCACATCTGTCTGCACTTGTGAAACTTCCATTATTAACACCACCTGAATTGCATCTTATGACTTGTGTTGCATTTACTACAAATCCTCTGTTTTGTGTGTGTGTTTTTGAATACGATAGATACAGATAAGTGATTCTGTACTGAATGGTTTTTTTTTTGTCTTTGTAAGCCCCAACCTTTTTGATTGTAGGAGCGAGGGAGATGGTGAGGACTCTGTGTAGCCTGTTAATCTGCTATCAGTACTGTCTTTGCTTTTTTTTTTTTTGAATTTAGTTTTGTGCTATTTGTGGCTTACTCAATATTTCCTGACTGGGGATGATTGTATGAGTACTTCCTTCTGCATCAGTAAATAGATGGCAAGAGGAATGTTTCATCATCTACAGACATCAGATTCTTGCTCTCAGTGGAGAATCTATTTTATAGTCAAATTAAAAGAGGGGAGACAGGGGTGGGTGTGGGTGCAGGCTGGGTGCTAATGCCAGGTTTGAAAAGTGTGGTGGGGGTAGCCAGAGCATGTTCTTGAAGTGAGGCTGGTGGGAAAATGTGGAAAATGCTTTCAGCAGCTTTTATGTGCTGGAACTTCTGTCTTTACAACCCCAAAACACACATAGGTTCTTGACCTCAGCATAACTGCTGCTGCTAGGATTAGCCCAGGGAAAGGTTTAGAAATACAGTCTCCATTTTATAATGGTGATGTCAGACCTCACCTGCACATTAAGCTGGATGTAAAACTGTTCAGGAAAAATCTGGGCTTGGAATCTTTCCAAAGGAAGGGTGATCTTTACACCCCAGCTAGCAGGGCTCTGTGAACACTGGGAACCAAACACATTGGCCACCAAGGTGGTGTTTTGGCACAGGAAGCACAGCAGAAACCTTCCTTGTAGCGAAAAGATAAAAGCATCTGCAGTTGGTGGTGTGTTCCCCTGCCAGATGTGGCTGGTGGAGGCTGGCTGCACATCTGGGGCAGGCTGATGTTGGGTTGTAGGGTGTTTGGGGTTCATAGGGCCAGCGTGCCCCGAGGGCTGCAATAGGGGTGTATGGATTCAAGGGGAAGTCTTGTGCCAGCCCTGTTTTGTCACAGGCTGCTTATGAGCCCTGAGTTTTGAGCCTGGCTGAATGAACAACTCTGGTTTCTTCTGGCCTTCACAAAGTGCTTGGGAGCAGGGAAATGTACAATTCTCACTGCAAGGGAATGCCAGAGGTGGGGAGAGGTGGTCTTCAAATAGCACAGTGAAAGTTTGTTCCTACCTAGACTGTCATACTGAGATACATTGTCACTTAACAGCTTTTTCTAGGCCCCTCTGTTTAATCTGATGCTTGTTCATGACCTTTCAGAAGTGCCTATGTAAGGTTTGCACTGGCACACCATCTCCCTAGCAGAGCTGGTAAGGCTTTTTCCTTTTGACATGTACTTGTGTTTCTGAAGCTGAGGCAAAGATCTGCCAGATTGCTCTTTCAGATTGGTGCTGTGCCCTGTCAGGCACCAGCCCATCAGTGGGCAAGGTGAAGTCTCTGAAGTCAAGGCTCAGAGGCAGGCAGCAGCTCCTGCAGCTGCAGGCAAAGCTGGCTGATGGGCTTCTGAAGAGCTGCTCTGGGGGGACCCTGCAGAGTGACTGCTCTCCAGGTCATCTCTATTAGCCTGGGCTGCACTATTTGGTTGTTCTATAGTGGGTCTTGTGCTCTTGGGCACAGCTGGTAAATGTGTCCTCTATGTGACACTGTCTTGTCTTCTGTTTAGATAAAATTTGGCACCAGCATCCTGAAAGCATTTTAAAGGATCATTCAGTGCTGTTTTCTATCTGCTAACTTGCTAGGTGATGTTTCCTGTGGCACAGGCAGCAGTTTTACAGGGGGAGAGGTCTCCTTTTTTACTTGGTTGCTGCTCCTTGACTCTGTGGGAGCCGGTGTTAAGAAAGCCCCCCACTTTGACTTCAAGGTGATTTTTCTCTCTGTAAGCTTGTTTTCTGGGGCATGAAAGAGTCACAAGGTTTAGCAACATTTCAGCTTTCCTTTCCTGCAGTGGTTGTGAAGTGTTTGCTTGCCTTCCTGTCTTGGCCAAAGAGTTATTGCACAGGAGCCTCTGGTGTAAAACTCTTTCCTGGTGACTTGACATGAAGAGCTCTATGTGCTGATTTGCCCCGTCCCTGTGCTTCTCTGGTGTGGATAAGTTGACTCAACTCATGCCTGTGCTGCTCCTGTGCTTGGCTTATCTTCTGCTGATGTGGCCTCTAGTTTTCCCCCCTTGTCTTTCTGTACTTGTCATTTCCCTTTTTGTGTCTGGCTAGGAAACCAAAGGTCTGAGAGAGACCTTCTCCTTCACCAGAGGGAGTAGAGAAAATGGTCCTGGTTGGTGTTCCAGCTGTCAGTCAATTTATACATTGTTGGTTTGCCCCTGAAATGGGTTGGGATTCTCTTCCCCTGCTTGGAAAGAAGGATGAAAGGGAATGCTCACTGTCTCTCTGATCAGTAGGGGAACATGGGGACTGAATGAGGCAATTCTTACCAAAATATGGGTGAGAGATCAGGGCCAAGAAATGGTCAGCTATGGTGACCTGCATCCATCTGAGGTCCGTGATAGAAGTCATATCTTTGTCTTCTTTCTCCCCTTCAGATCACGGACAGAACTGAGTCGCTGAACCGCTCAATACAGAAAAGGTATTTCTGGGGCTGGCCTCAGGGTAAAGCAGGTCACTTGCTGCAAATGGAGATTGCAGCAGGTCCTGCTGTGTGGAAGGGCAGGGTGACAGGCTGCCTGTTGCCCTCAAAGTCCTCCCATCTGCCTGAGGCACTGGGGGAACACCTTAATCCTCCTCTCTGTTCTGCAGTAACAGCATAAAGAGGAGTCAGCCTCCTCTCCCTGTGTCGAAGATTGATGACAGGCTGGAGCAGTACACACAGGCTATTGAGGTGGGTTGCTGTGTTGTCTCCCCCCCTGCCCTCCCAGGAGCCCTCTTTGCTGGTGCTGCTCTCCCACCATGCCTCTTAGCCTTACCATCTCTGAGATGACAACTAAATGGTCTTCCTTGGGTGAGAGCACTCCTTGCTCCTGTCTGTATGTCCCTCCGCAGCACTAAGCAGGTTTCTTTAGCAAGCTGTCCCATGCTTGTTTTTTCATGTTCTCTGCTTAAAAGAGTGGGAGTGTCTGACAGGAACTGGTAGGACTCTACAAGTCTCCTTTTACAACCCCTTATCTCCAAGGACCTTCCAGGGTTAAAAATAATCAAGAGACACGCTCTGATGGCAAACTGTCTCCATTTATTTTCCAGACCTCCACAAAGGCTCCAAAACCCGTCCGGCAGCCGTCTCTTGACCTTCCCACCACGAGCATGATGGTAGCCAGCACAAAAAGCCTCTGGGAGACTGGGGAGGTCACAGCTCAATCTGCTGTGAAGCCCTCAGCCTGTAAGGTACGGCTCTTGGAGGACTTGCCTTGCTTGTGCCAGAGGCAGGGACTGGTCCCTGGGCACAACAAGCATTGTCCGTGTTTATCCTGTTGGTACCTCTTGTTTGTGGGGCCTACAAGCTCCGAAGGCATTTGGTATTTGAGGCCTTCCATCATGTCATAAGGCTTTGCACCTTGGAGATGCAATTTTTTCGATAGGGTCCCCAGTTTTTCCTTGGTGGTACATCCAGGAAAACATCTGTGCTGCTGGTTGAGGCTGATTTGCAATGGGAATTAAAATCAGCTAGTGGGGAGAATGCATGTGTCCCCTACAGGGGCTTGGGCTGTGCTCCAGTTGTCAAGCACAAAGTTGCATCTTGTACCAAGGTGATAAATCTTGTAAACTTGGAAAATGCAAATAATATTATGTATTGCTCTCAGAGATTTCACCTTCTGGTTGTTGTGGGTGAGGCTGGTTCTGTCACACGGTGGTTGCAAATCTGCTCTTTATGAGAGCAGAATTCCTTACGGAGAGAAGCCGTGATGTTTACATGTCCTAAATAGTTAGTGAACTTAAGAAAATAAACATCTTGGAGCTAATTCAGACTCTTGTGGAAGAGTGATAGGAAAACATAGGACATACTGGGAACAGGAAGACGTTTTCACAGTCATGGGTTTTAGCAGCAGCTGTTATAGGTCAGATGATGTGATATTATAAATAAAAAAAAAGAGGTCAGATGTGTGGGTTGGAAGTGGATGTGAACAAAGACACGTTCAGCAGCATTAGCAATGAAGGGTAATGAGAACATAATTTCCTCAGGATATCGTGGCTGGAGACATCGTGAGTAAAAGAAGCCTTTGGGAGCAGAAGGGGAATCCCAAACCTGAGAGCAGTATCAAGGTGAGCCGGTGTCTGTGAGTGTGAGAGCACTTCTGCTGAAAAAGAAAAGAGCTGTTGGCTGGGTTGGAAGTATTGCGAGCATGATGTTCTGTAGGGACAAGGGCTGCCTGTGTCTGTCTATCAATGCAATTGCATGCTTAAGAGCCCTTCCTAACAGTGAATTGCTATTGGTTCAGCTCTAGTGAAAATGGGGGAAAAAATACTTTTATATCCAGTTATTCTGAAAGATCTCTTGAATAGTATGTTATTGGGAGTTCCAACTGGGAACTGGGAGTTCCAGCCTTCTAGGCTGAAATGGAACTGCAAATTCGAGTAATTTAGCTCTTGTTATGCTCCTTGGCACTGAGAGTAAACAAAATGTGCAAAGCTAAGTGGAACTGAACCTAAGGCAGTATCAGTTGCAGATGGATCTGGGGTTTTGCGGGAATGTTTGTGGAAATGTCTCCTAAAATGCAGCAAGCAGCTACTTCTCAAACTATCTGGGTTGGGAGAGGAAGATCAAAGTATCTTGTCAGTTCCTGTGTTGAAAGTTCCAGTATCTGGTAAATCCCAGAGTTGCCTGCCATAGATAAAAACAACCCTGGCTTGGGGATCTGGGCTCTTAGATGAGCCCTCCCTCACAATGCCTGCATTGCATCTTCTTTCCTATTGCATATCCTGTTCTTGTTGTGTTACCTTATACTTACTGAAGGTGGTGATGGATCTGTGCAAAGTTTGTGTGAAGGAGGCAAAAAGGCAGCACAGAATGGGCTATCTCCAAGCCCTCTGGGATTAAAGGCAACTGAATCATGTGCTCCTCTAGCTTCAGTTGTTTGGTTTTTGACTGCCTATTTAGTGGAGAAAAATGCTGACTTTGGCTCTTCCTTTCTCTCCTGTTCAGTCCATTCCTTCTGGCAAAAAGTATAAATTTGTTGCAACAGGCCATGGCCAGTACAAGAAGGTGTTGATAGATGATGCTGCAGAGCAATAGTATGTCTGGAGAACTCATTAACCAGGTAGGTGGGATATGACTGTGCTCTGTTTAACAAACTCCTGGGCTGTTCTGGCAGGATGCTGGGATTATTTCTGCCAGCAGCACTTGGGGTGAATTGGAAGGTGCTGTATGGGAACAGCTGGAGCCTCGCTTCAGAGCCTGACTGTCTGGGCTGGAACAGAGTGGGTTACACAGCAGGGGTTTTGGTCTCTGCCTCTCTGATGCTGCTAGGAAGCTGGATACCTCTGTTAGTTTAATCTGCAGTCCCTCAGGTACTGCTGTTTGGGTGAAGATGTGCTTGCCTTTCAAAGGAATGGTCTCTATCTGCTGTCTTCCCTCGTGCTCTCTTAAGCTGTAAGGAGTAGATAGCTGGAGGTCATTCTGGCTGAGCATGGGGGCTGATGCACTTTTGAAATTCAAATGTTTCTGGGGTCTAATTCCCAGATTTACTGAATTAATCAGGGAGAAATCTTTTAATGACTTCAGTAACCTCTTGGAACCAGTCTATAATAAGGTTGTAGCAGGAAGAATGTGAACATCTGCTGTACTGGGTAGACCAAAAGAACAGAGAGAACTTCTCTGATGTGCAGCAAGGGAAGGCAGAGCTGGGTTGCTGTCTCTGTTCTGTTGACATGGTCTTTGGATCTCATGTTCCTATTGTGTTTATGCTCATAGATATCCCGGTGTTATCTTGAGTGGATGATAGTAGAGGGTTGTGGCAATAAGGAGGAAAGGAATGACATAGAGGGGGGGATAACTGGTTGGATCCAACTGGGCAGCATCTGGCACAATGAGTGGAGAGGAAGTTGAGGGTGAAAACAAGCTCATTCTCTTTTTTTTTTTTCCTACTATAAAAAAGAAGCTTTATTTCATTGCCAAGGTTAAAATAGCTCTGCTGATTACAAAACACCTTTTGTTTCTGAATTCTTCTGGGGCCTGTGTTCCTTCTTTCCTCTCCCTCCCACCCTTAACGAGCTGGCTTCTGAGTCTTGCATATTGTTTTGTTTGTTTAGGCTAGTTTTTTTCCTTTTGTAGTGCCCATTTAGAGGAGGTGCCCTTTTGAACTTGCTTTGGGATGGGCACCAGTACAAGCCAAAGACTGCCTGAAGCTATGTTTTCAGTCCACAGAACTTGCATCCTCAGCTTGCTTCTCTGCCCATGACTTTGAGAAACCTAAGGTTTCCCCTTTGATCAGTCTCCTTTCTCCGTGCACCAGGTGGGAACCTACTGGGCTTCAGTTCTCAACAGCAAATAGGTTTTGCTAGGTTGTCAGCAGGTTTTGTTTGCCCTGAGTTTCTCTAAGCAGCTCAAATGAAAGTGTCTTTGGCTCTGGTCTTTGTCCAGCGTCCTTTCTTGAAAGGCAGTGCACTATCACAGGATGTCCTCTAGGATCCAGCCAGCACTCCAAACAGCCATGGCACAACATTCTCTGGGTTTATTCACGTGGAAGTATTGGGTTTTTTCTACTGTGAATAGCAAAATGGCTGTGATAGCTGAAGGAGCTTGGCTTGTTTCTTTTCTTAGGTTCTTAGCTGTCTGTTTTGTATGCTCTGAGCTCCCTGCTCCCCAACTCCTCTGTACCCCCTGAGCTATGTTCATCCTTTTTCCTTACTGCTGGATCACTGTCATGGCCTTACTCCCAAACCCTTCTGGCTCACCCCTGTCACTTGCTTTACACCACCTTATCTGCTTTCTAGTTGCTTAAACACAGGTGTGCTTTTTTTTTTCTCCTTCCTTCCCTTCCTGGGCTGCAGGACCTCACTGCAGGCTATGGAACAAGAGTTTTTCTGTAAGTGTCAATTTGGGCTCTTAGCAACAGCCTGATGCTGTTTGGCATTGAAAAATAGGCAAATTCTGTGCCCAGTAGCATTCTTCTTCTCTTCCTCAGTAGAGCAGCTCAGTCTGGAGCACACCACAGTGACTTCCAGTGAACAGCCATTGCCTGAAATCTGTTGCCTATAGGGACATGTCCTCCTGTCTGTGGTACTCTTGTGTCAGGGTCTGTCTCTGCAGGACTTGCCATGCTTGCTTTGTGCCTCTGCCCTTTGCTTTTGGGGTAAAAGGGCTAAACCATACACACAGACCTGCCTTCCTCTGTCTCCTTTCTTCTGCTTGTGGGAATTGCTCTCCCCAGTGGCATTTCCCCATCCTTCATCCATGTGCAGTGGGGCTGGGGTGTCAATGGAAGCCTAGAAGATGTGAAACCTAAGCCTTAGGTGAGAGTTGCTGGCTTGCTCTGGGTGGTTGTCCTTGGTGCAGGACAAAAACTGTTTTAGAGCACAAGTGCTTCTTAAACCACCTTCACCTAGTCTCCCAAACGCAATCAAAGTTGGCTGCTCTGCTTCATGCCAGTACTGTGGCTCTTGTGCATGTAGACCTTTGTGCTGAGGCATCCACCTGGCTGGGCTGCAGTAAGGTACCACTTAGCACTCTCTGGAAAGGTTGCCTTTATCTGCATCAGGTGTTTTACACTGCACTCTTCAAATCTTTTTTTGTGCTGCTGTGTGGATGTTTCTCTGTAGCCTTCTCTTGCAGCAATGTTAAATTATCCTGGTGAGGCTTACCTAGGATTCACTTGTGATTACTGGCACATTTCCAACCTTTTTTTACTTCTTTCTTTGAAAACTGGGGGTTTGAAGAAAAAATCCCCACTTTAGATTGTTAAGATAATATTCTTCCTATTTGGTTGTTGCCCTTTGACTAGCAAAGGGCTTACGGAATATAGATAAGACCAGTAAAGTGAAAACTTCAGATGATTTGGTAAATGAACTGTTCTTACAACATCACTGCAGGATAGGAAGACTTTAAAAAAGGCAAAAGAGGTTCTTTGTTTTGTTTCTAAGTCTGTTTGCAGTTTGGCTTGAGGAACTGCTGGCCAGTTCCATATCCTCTGCACATGAAAAAGGAAGCACTGTACACAGCTCTTCATACTGTATTTGGCCTAAACATAGCAATCCTATATTAGCTGTATAGGAACACCCCAGCATATGACCAAGTTCCTTGTGAAACTGAAATAACCTATCTCCCAACTTCCATGCTCACAAGCCTGCTGTCAGTGGAGTTGCAAAGGGTAATACTGGAAAGCCCAGTTGTCTCTGGGTGGGCAGAGTTGGGGATTTTCCTTTAAATGCCCTTTTTTCAGGATACTGGGGACAAGCAGGTGTGCAACTGTCATGATGTTTGCCCTGAAAATGAGACTACATGGGGTTAGCAGAAGCCCTCAGAAGCCAGCACCTTGTTAAATACAGAATTGGATTCCCATGGTCTAAAGCAAGGTCTTGTTGGTTATTGTGGAAACATTAACCATCAGCTATTGTGGTGAAAACATGGTAAAATACATAACAGAACTTGATTACCAAAACAAAATTATTCTTCTGTGCATTAGTGTTTAGTAGACTGGCCTAGGAGGTTGTCAGAAGCTGCCCATTTTGTTAGGCAGAGGAACTGCTTGGTGAGAGCAGGATATCTTACTGTCTGTTCTCTGTGCCTTGGGTAAAAGGATGAGTTTCCATTTTGTTCAACTGCTGCTGTTCCTAGGATCTATCTCTGTCTTAGATAAATGCAAAAAAAATTCAGATTCCATTATCCTACTCAAAACTGGTCTTTTTTCTATAGGCAGTTTGTCCTCTTCACTCTGTTACTTCATCCAGTGATTGTTGTTGACTCTTTTTAAAACAAACATGTTTGTTTTCCTGTGACCTGTGGATGTGGTAGCTATGTATTTGAGCTTTTGAATGTATGGAGAGTAACCCTTAAACCTGCAGCATGGGGCTGCTGGCTTGGAGGGGTTTTATTTAATTTCCTTTTTTTCCTTACTCCTGGCTCCACTGGGCAGTAAACTTGGTCACAGGTGTCCTCTTGGTTGGTGCATGTCCAGAGGGGTGGAGCAGCCTGGCTTCAGTTGACCGACCACCCTGATGCCGTTCTATTAAAGCTCTTGGTGTGCTCCTCGGCCCCTTTGGGTCGAAAGCGGCTCAGCTCGAACACTGTGCTGATCTTTGTCATGGGTTTGGCAGCCAGTTCCTTCAGTTTCCGGGCATCAAAACGTGGCTTGTGTAGAAGGATGGGCAAGCGGCGGGGAAGAAAGACGCTTTCTTCCTTCTGTGGCTTCTTCTCCTCTGCTTGCTGCTTCCTCTCCTTGGTGAGTGTCACCTGGTATAAAATGGCATCCCACATTCTCATGGCTTTTGATTTAACCAGCATGGAGTCTTGCTTGATGACTGCTTGAGCAGCATCCTCTTTATTCCCTTCCTTCTGTCCCAGCTTTTCTGGCTCAGATTCTGGGAAGTTAGTTGCTTCTGGCTGCACCATCAAGTGCTTCTTGAGGCGATGCCAGCCACTGGCACCACTCCCAGGAGGTCTTGGTGCTTCTACTGATGATGATGCTGGCTCAGCCTTGGGGAGACAGCCAGTGTTGGGTAAGCTGGGAGTCATCTGAGGTTCAGGGACGTGTTCTGCCTTGGTGTCTGTGGATGTGGACCCAGTACCATCAGTTTGTGCTGGAGTTGCCGTCGCTGGGCGTGTTTGCCTCCAGGGAGCGCTGGATGTTGATGGTTTTAGCACGTCTCTGTCTTGCTGGGGCAATTCAGGAGCTGTCGTGGATCTGGATATTTTAGTGTCACTTCCATGGGTTGTATTGATGTGGATATCAGAGGTGCTGGGCTCCTCAGTAGGAACAGGTCTGGGAGCTTGATCAGGAGGCTCTGTTTCTGCGGCAGGAAGGAGGGGAGGTTTTGGCAAGGGGGGAGTGACCTTGCTGTCTTTAAGTGAGGTGGGTGTCTGCTCTGGAGATGGTTCAGAGCTGCTTGTTTGACATGCTGGGGAGGTAGGCCTTTTGTCTTCGTGGTTGACAGCTCCTTGGGTTGGGTTTGGTGTGGGAGTCTTAGCCCTGGGGGGCTTGACGCTGTGGAAATAAGTGTTCACCCTGGTGACATAGGTAACCCCTGGTGCCTGTTCTGTACTGGGTGTACTGGCAGGAGGAGGCTGGGGGAGAACAGACAATGAAGGGTCAGTTGGAGAGGGAAGGTGGGAACCCATGCCTTGAGGCTGCTGTGGAGTCTCAGGTGCTCCTGGCTTCTGTAGCAGGGGCATGGCTGAGGAGGCTGTGAGCTTGACATGTTCAGCGATGCGCCGCTGCTCGGTGACCTTCAGTGCGAAAGGCTTCCCCTTTCGGAAAGGGGAGGGGGCACGGTGGCTGACGGGCCTGATGGAGAGGTGGGTTGGCAGGGGGGCAGAGGGGGGTGCTGTGGTTTCAGGGGGCTCTGCTGGGGCAGCACTCTCAGCACACTCTTGGTCGGGGCTGGCTTCGTTCACAGGTGAAAGGCTGGAGCGGAAGGACTTGCCCTGCTCTGAGGTGAGGATGGCGTTCTTCCTGGCTGCCTTCTTCAGCAGCCGCTGCAGCCGCAGGTTGTCCTTCCCAGGCTTTGGTAGGGTGGGAGGGGGAGAAAGGGGGTGGTTCTGGGAAACAGACTGGGTGGAGGATGATACTGTTATCAGCATTGTCATTTCCTGCAAGAAAAGACCAAGTTTAGAGTTGGTGTGGGCTAGATTCTGAAATATTGATATACAAGTCCTCCTCTTCCTCTCTCTAAAAGCTGTGAGTATGGAGTCAATACTGTGGGAGAAGAGCATCCATCTTTGTTTTGTTGCTCTCCTGAGGTAACCTCAGCCAGTCTTGAGGGTGGGTGTGGCAGGGCAAGAGATGTCCTGGGGGAAGCTCTGTTGCCAAACCTGGAGCCCTTCTGCTCCTGGCATTAGCACAGTGAGAGCTCCTGGGGACCCCAGATGTTCGTGTCTTGGCAAGTCCTAATGGGATTTGGAAGGAAATGTCAAGGGAAACAAAGTGGGTTTGAAATTTTGAAGCTTTGAAACATCTCCAGAGGCAAAAAGCAGGAATGTTTCATGGCTTTCCAAATTTCAGTTATTAATACTCTGATACAATGTTACATACAACAGAACAGCCATAAACTACATGTGTCATTTGAATCAAAGTCAGCACTGGCCTTGATTCATTTCAGCTGGCATGAAGACACCCCTGTGAAATACAAGGCTTCTCAGAAGCTCTGTTTATTGGTGAGGAAGTGCTTTGTCACAACGCTGACTCTGGCTGGTCTTTTCTCGCTGCATGAAGCACAGGGACAACATCTTCCTTCAAGATAAAACCAAGTTTTCTCATTCCCCTGGGAAGCTTTGCCACTGTCTTGCCTTTATCTCTCATTCCTGAGTGAAGTAGAAATGGATTGTGCTCTGTGTCAGGTCTGATCTCCAATAGTAATTGGAGCCCTTTGGCCAGTGCTGGGCTGCTCCTGCAGGGATGCCTGGCTGCTTTTCCTGCTCTTACTCGTCACTGCCTCCTTTCTGGGGAGTGCTGGCCAGTGGAGCTCTGTGACCACTGCTCAGGTGAGCACAGTGGAGCTAAGGGTCTGTGTTGGGCATACAAAGATAAAACTAGTCTCAGTTCTCTCTCTTTATGAGCAAGCTGGGGAGCACCAAACAGCTTCTGACCTGCAGTGACTCTTTGGCAGCCCCAGGAAGGAAATCTGACTCTACCCTGGCTCTTGCTCAGCACAGAGTTGCTGAGTTTTGCTATGAAATGAGGCATAAATCATCGAGCCCCTTAATCCCTGGTGCTGGATGCAGCTGAGCATCCTGAAACAAGGAGGAGGAGGGCAGGGTGATGTCAGGCTTGCCCAGGGGGCTGTTTATTTCATGTGCTGTGTTTGTTCCTGGTGGCTCCCAGCCTGCTCTGGTTAGTGTGGGTGTGTAACATGATACCTACTGTGCAGGAAAACTATCCTGAGCAGAACTGTGAAAAGTGCAGAACAGCTATTTGTGCTTGGGTGCCCAGTGCTGGCTTTGGGCTTGCACTGCTGCTCTCAGCACTGGGCTGGGAAGGGGATCCATACCCAGCAAGCAGGTGGTGTGTCTGCCAGAACTGGTTGGGGAGGGGGGGAGAAGGATGACTTTTCTCTTTTTTAAAGGCAGCAGTAGCAAATAAAAGCACTGAAGAGGTGGCATGTTGAGCTCAAAAGCTTCAAGGTCAAGCCCTCACCATGGTGGGTGAGCTGCCCTCCAGAGCAGAGGCAGTAGAGGGCAGGGTATAGGCAGTATCTAGCAAATGGTGCATTCAGTACTGGAAAGACATGGATCTGCTGGAGCAGAGGAGGACCACAGAAATGATTAGAGGGATGGAACACTCCTATGAGGACAGGCTTGAGAGAGTTAGGGTTCTTCATCCTGGAGAAAGGGAGACTTTATTGTGGCCTTTTAATATGTAATCGTGGCTCATAAGAGACATGGGGACAGGCATTTTAGTAGGGCATGTTGCAATAGGACAAAGGGTAAAGCTTTTAAACTAAGAGGGTAGATTCAGAGTAGGCATAAGGAAGGAATTTTTTATGATGAGGGTGGTGAAACACTGGAACCGGTTTCCCAGAGAGGTGGTGCATGCCCTGTCCCTGGAAGTATTCTAGGTCAGGCTGGATGGGGGTCTGGGCAGCCTGATTTAGTTGCAGATGTCCCTGTTCATTGCATGGGTGTTGGATTAGATGACCTTTAAAGGTCCCTTTCAACTAAAGGTCCCATTCAAGCCATTCTGATTTACTTTAGCTGTAGGCATGAGAAACCTGCTGTTTTCTGTGAGGGGGCTTGCAGGGGATTTGTGTCAGCTGGGGGTGACAACTGTTGGACGTGCCCAGCGTCTTATCAGCTTCATTCCTTAGGCACAAGGCTGTCATTAGGATTTGCTTTGTTCCAGGAGCTACTCTTAGAGGCAAGTCTTCACTGTTCCAAAAAAAGGCTGAGAGCCTACTCCTTTGTAATATACCTGCTTTCCTCCCCAGCCTCATAGGTATTTTAGGTTCTTCTGGGTCAAAAAGCTAAAATGTCGCAGTTGGAGGGATATGTAGGTTTTTTTGTGACACTGCTCTGGCTCTGTTTGTGTAGGAATTGGTAATTGCTTGTGGGTTTTTTTGTGCCTTTTTAAAAATCTGCTGAAGGGTGAGTAAATACATGCACCTCATGGTAGGATTTATTGTGGAATGACTTAATCTGCTGCTGTTTAATGTGGTCCCATGGACAGACTGTACTACAAGATGAGCTATGGTGCAGTAGCACTGGTAAACCAGATTTATAAGGTTGACCTGCTTCAGGCTAGTGTAGGGAATACTAAAGAGGTAGGGCAGTGAACTTCCCAGCTACTGATCAGCTCTTGGAGTGTTTTCCTTGTCTTATGGATTGCTGCACTCCAGAAAAATGCAGCTCCCCACGAGTCAGAAGGATCTTGCCTGGGATTTGCTGCAAACTGACAGATGCTACTGAGGAGGGCATGGGGGCTCTCAGAGTGGAAAGTTTAGTATGCACACACCAGGAAAATCCCTCTGCTCACAAAGTCAGAAGCTGCTTCATGCTGTATAACCTCAGGATTTGTTGTCTCTTACAATAGTCTGTGCTCTTAAAATCACTCTTGCTGCTATCTCAGCATTCTATCTGACTCGAAATCTGCTGTGCTGTGGGTCTTGAGTCCTTATGGGGTGGTAGCTTCCATGGCATGTGACTGTGTTGGGATCTGTGTGCTTGGACTAATGGAGCAGTGAGATGCTAAGAGACAGCAAAAGGAAATCAGCTGTTAATTTATTTGTCTTTCTTGTCAAGCCTGGCTTTGTTTTGAGTCTCCTTCAGAGCTTTGTGTGCTCAGGAGAAATTCTCAACAAGTTTGTTTTCCTCCTTGCCACCTAATGAAACAAAAGTAAAGGGACATACAGACTTGCTTTATTGCCAGTGGCAAGGCTGGAGCTGAAAACCAGGGGGCAAGAGGGGAGCCACTGCCTGGGACACTTGTGTGGGTTTGCAATAAGCTAGAATGAAGTGAACCTAGAGGTCAAGAGGCTTTCAAAGGGTTAAGTTTCACTGCTTCTGGTTGAGTTCCCATGGGTGGATGCATGCTCACCTACTCTTGGACCCCAACTGTTCTCCTGACTTGGCTCCATTAGCAATCAGCCCCAAATCAGGAATAATGGGGAGAATGTCAGCATGCAGGAGTCATTTATCAGGTGATGGAAAAGTCATTTGTGTGCTGGAGTCCCTCGGCTGCACCAGCTGTCGTGTGTGGAGCAGATGGAGGGAGAGCTGCAGGAGCCCAGCACTGCTGCAGATGGTCCCAAACAGAGCATCAGGGGCTGGGGGGACACTCTGCTTTAGTGGCTTTCATCAGCTTGGGAGGAAGCCTGCAAATCTCCTTGGGGTGGGAGACAGCATGGCAAGAGTGCAGCCATGAGCCCTGCTGGGTGTGCAGCATCTCCTCTGCCACGGGCATGGACATTCCCAGCACGGTTCAGTTATGCTGAAACCTTATGGGTGGGCTGATTCACAGGGCTTTGTGAAAATGGGTGGGAGAAACCCACCTGTAATTGCTAGAGAAGACAGAGTGTCTGTATAGCCCAGGCTATTGCTCATGAGGGGCCAAATGGTGTCCATAACATTGTGTTTTCTTGTCTTGCAGCTGAGCTTGGTCCTGACTCAACGCAAGCCTCCACGCCACTATTTCCTCTGCTCCACAGAAGATAATTGAAGGATGTTTCTCTACTCCTGACTGCTGTCAGTCTGCTTTGGGTACTGCCTGCCTCCTCTTGGGGTTTGAGCAGTGTTCCACCCTGCCTCCAGACGGAAGAAAGGAACTACATCAGCTGACAAAATTCACCCCTTTTTTAACTTTCTGCGTGACTCTTTGGCTTTTTTTTTCTTTTTTTTTTTTTTTTCTTAATGTGTCTCTGCTATGGAGATGAGAGGCTCTGTTCTCTCTCCTTAAGAGAGGGCTCTGCTGCCCTGCTGAGCAGGCAAGGCTTTTGTTATGTGATTAAGAATTTCTCCTTTTGTGGCCCTTGATGGCTGGGTGGTGGCAGAGAAGGGAACTTGAAATCTGGTGAAGAATTGGTGTTTGAAAGGAGGGCAGGTCCTGAGTGTAAAAAGATTGCAAGAAGAGTGTGATGAGAGTGCAAGGACCCCTTGTCACTCTGTTGGTACCAGCTGTGGGTAAAGTCTTCCCCTATTTATGATGCAGCCTCTGTCCCTCTACATCATCTGCTTTGAGGGGCTTCCATCTACTGGTCTCTGCATACATCAAATTGCATTCAATCTAGTCTTGTTTTTTTTCTTTAATTCCCAGATCATTCTTTAATCACAGTTATGTACCCATGCCAAAATGTTCCTGCCACTTTCCTGTCTCAGTAGGGCAATAGCAGCTTTGTTTCAAATTGCTGCTGCCTTCCTCTGAGATGGATTGGAGATCTCCTTTCCCAGGTGAGGAGCACTGACCACTGCTGTTATCTCCCTTCTCTGGGAAAGTGATTTGCTTATTCTCTAATCTGTGGACTCCAATGCTGGTGACTGAAACACTTCTAAAAGTTAGATGTGGTGGCACCTTGATAACTTGCAAGCTATGTTCCTGAAGCTGAGCAGGATATCTGGGAAATGGCTGCTGCTGGAAGTGATCTTGGTGAAATGGCATCCTAGTGAATTGTTTGTGGAGACCAAGGCTTGCTGTGAACTTGAGGAAACTGAGTCACTCACGAGTGGCATTTCTGGGCCTGGGGTCTGCATATCAGCTTCTAGGGTTGTTTCTAAACTCTCCCATGTTTTCATACTTCATGATATTAACATGTCCCCCATCCCCACTTTAGTATCATTCCTACTTTCTTCCCATGTCAACATCATATTGCAACTTGTTTCTACCCTCCTGGAGGGAGGACAGCTTGTTTCTCCTCCTGCATCTGTGTGCTTTCTGCTTAAAACTTTCTGCCCCCTTGATTTTCTTTTTTTTTTTTTTTTTTTTGTAAGCATTTAATAAAATTTGAAGAAGATGTTGTAATGATGGCAACTCTGAGAATTTTGTTCATGTAGGAGTCTGTAGCAAAGCTGTTTTTCCAAGACCTTGAAACTCTGCTTGAATGCGAGGTGGAGGAGAGGAAGCATCAGCCTGAGTGGCAGGAAGAAAAGGAGCTTGACATATGCAGGAAAGGGGTTTTCAGTGTGCCTGCCCCATTTAGATCTGTTATTTTGCATTTTTCATGGGGAGTAATTGCCTGTAAAAGGGGAAGGAGCAGTGCTTGGGTGGGCAGTGGAGCAGCCTGCAGAGTCTTCTTGGGGAGTGTGATCAGCTAGGAGAAGCACAGAGCTTTAGCTCCCCAGGTAATAGACCTGAGCAACATCACAGGCTTCAACCAAAATCACTGGTCATGTCAGCTATAAAAAAAGGGAAAAAGTCTTCCTCTGTATCCTGCTAATCCAGCTTCAATAAGGTCAGTATAGCTGTCTGTGCTGGAACCCAGCACACTAATGAGCTGATGGCTCTATCTGGAACCATCTACCTTTTATAGAAAAACCTTTTTATGGGGGTGACCTTCCAAGTAATAACGCTTTTATGGTGCAGAGACAATGAAGAGTTTCTGCTATCCTAACATTTTAGAAAAGTGTAGGTAAGGAAGGAGATAATTCCAATGTAACTTCTTGCTCTTATTTTTCTGCTGATTGGTACCCTTGTTCTCTCCATCCTCTGCTTTAGTTCTGGGAGGCAGGAATTCAAGGAGTCCTGTGTTCTTCAAAGCACTGAGCAGCATGGCCCCTTTTTCCTCCCTTCAGCCCTTCCTCTGCTATGCTGGGATTTTCCAGCAAGGCTGGAGCGGTAGCAGTGTGGTGCATAGAGATACTCTGGGTTGAGGTGAAAATAACACGACTTTGCATGTGTGCAAACTGGTTGCAGCAATTTTTCAACACAGTTCTGCAGCTGGCTGGTGGAAATAATGGCTGAAAACTTCTCCAGTTACTATTCCTGTGCCCTGCCAGTTTGCAGAGGGCAGAGAAGGCCCCAAAGGCTGTTTGTGTGAGATTCCTTCTCTAAGGAGGGTTAATTTGCAGAGTGTATTTTCTCCACTTAAAGCCCACAGGGACCTAGATGTGGTTTCAATAAACAACTGCTGTAACTGAGGTTGTGGTGACAGAAGAGAAGTGAGCAGGTTATGGGAGACCAGAGCTCTCTAGTGGTGGTCAGGAGCCAGGGAGAGAACTGGCTTGGAGCAAATGTGTGCAGCTCTTTATGAGGTATTATATCAGCCAGGGGAAAGGTTTCCACAGCTAAATTAACTTGATGGTGTGCTGTTTTTCCTCCCAAAGTAACATGGTGTGCACATGGTGCTGGGTGGGACTGGCAGTGGGGCTACCAGAATTGAGAAACCTTCCCCATCTTCCCCAAAAAGAAAAAAAGAGATGCTGCAGCCCAGATATGCTGGATGTGCATTTTGGGCAATGCTAAGAGGGGATGAGAGCATGGAGGCTCATCTCTTCTCCCAGCAGGAACCTGCAGGGACCTGTGGCTGATTTTTGTGAGTAAAGGAGAGCAGGCTGGTGCCACTCTGCAGCAGTTACTGGTCTGGTGCTAGTACTGCTCTGTTGACTGTTCACAGCACTGTGGTTTTTGCAGCACTGGCATCTCAGAGGCTTTTGCTATGAGTCCTTAGCTCTGTCTTCTCCTGAGACTGCTGCATTTTGAGCATAACAAGGACAAACTGTCACACTGAGTCTTGCAGGATTAGTCTTAACCTCAAAGCTTGGTGGAGGAGGGTAATGTTTTCCTGGTCCCTGTGTCTGCTGGCTGCCTTCATCCCCTGTGCTGCCATGCTTCCCCAAATTATCATCCCCTTGGCAGGCTGGCAGCGCCCAAAAAGAGGGACTGGGAACCCCTGTGTGGGCTCTGAGTGCTCTGAACTGGGGTTGTACCTTGATGTGTTGCTTCACTATAATTTTTTCTTTACCCATCTTGTCTAGATTATGCAGAAGGTGAACATGATTTTGTGGCAGTATTGGCTCTGGAATAAATCTGTGGGAGCTCCAGTGATACTGAAATGTGCTGCTTGTCCTTCTGTGTTCTCACACAAAGCCCCTTCAGGGCTGCTTTTTTCACTAGAGGGTTTAACAGATGAATTCTACATGAATGTATGCAAGATGGGATTGAAAAACATGGTCCGTGACTATTGCAATGCCATAAAACAGCATTCTTTAAACTTGGGGGAAACTTAAATAATGGAAAACTCAAGTCTGTTTTGAATATATGTCTTTATGTAGCACTTGTTCTGCCTTGAGAATGGGGGTGGACTTCACCGGGTCTCTTTCCAGGTATAAAATAATTACAGGCTCATTTTTGCATCCATCCTAATCTATATGTGTGCATGTTAATTAACAGATTTCTGCTCAACCCTTGCTTGCAGCTCTGCACTGGCCTCTGGCGTGGTAATGGACACAAGAGCCTAGAGTTTCCAAATGACTTTGTTCCTTGAAATGTGTTTGCAGCTTCTGCTCTTTGAAGGAAAGGTCAGCCTCAGGGACACCTGAGCCTGAATGTCAGAGCTTTGCCTTCTGCCACCACCACCACCTTTGGGAAGGAAAATAAACAGGCTCAAAGAGCAGGGCAGCTATAAATACTGAGGTGGCAGCTGATAGGCTGTGGAACGAGGTTCTGAGGTTGGTCTGTTGGTAGCTCCTTGCCAGCTCAAGACACTTCCCCTGACACTGCGTTTTATGCCTGTGTCCACACATATATATCTATATATCTGTATAGAAGCAGGTTAAGAGAAAAAATGTATTTCACATTGACAAAAGTGCCATTGGATCTAGGATTTACTATAGAAGTGGAACCGTTGCAAGGCTCCTGGTAATGAGACAGGTGACTTCCCTGGGATTTTGCACTGAGTCCCCTGAGGGCTTTGGTTGCAGTGGAATGATTTGATTTAGATCACAAGTTTTCAGAAAGGTGCTTCGTCTCTTCTGGATAACTCTCAGAAGTCGTGGCTTAGCAATGATAAATACAGGCATTAAATAAACAGAAACAAGGGGTCATGGACTTGGGACTTGTGAGACTGATGGGAAGAATGGGGAAAGGTTGAGGAAAAGTAAGGGGATATACCATTGGGATTTATACAAGTGAGCACTTTAAGGCAGGAAAGCAGCAAATTGCAAATGTAATTATTCAATGAGCTGTTTGGTTGGGCGGGTGGGTCTTCCCCAAGGTTGTGGAGTGTCTGTGAGTGGGACACAAAACAGCAGCTCCAGGCTTTGGTCCTGACTCCCATCCTGCTGCTCAGTCATTATCCTCACTGTCAACCTGTCTCAACCATTTAAGTGTAAAGAGTGTGAGGATGAGACCCAGCCTCTATCTTGAAGGGCCAAACCTCTGATCCATTGTCTTTGGAGGGAGATACTTAGCCTAGATCTAGGGTGTCCAAGCAAGAACTCCTGAATCCCACAGGGATTGTGCCTCTAAAGCAGATGCAGCAAGGACATATCCCAGAGCAAACAAATGAGTGATGGAGGAACAGTCTACCACAAAAATCAGAAATAAATATGAACTGGAAAAAAAACCAAAGAAGAATATATTACTTACTGATGTGTAATTTGTTTCCATCTGAAATCATTTGCATGTTGGGAGCATCATGTTACTCAGTCCGGTTTACAAAATTAACAGGAGATTGTTCCTTTGAGATCGTGTCAGGTGCTGGTTGCTTGTGACTTCTAGAGCCCTGTAGGTAAGTTTAAAGCATCAGATAGAAAAATGTTTATGGTAGCCACTAAGTACGATAGGTTTCTCAAAATTAAATAGAGGGACTTTCTGAAAGCATGAAAAGTTCCACCACCTAAAATTAGCCTGAGGAGTGGCTATCGAGTAACACCGTTGCGTGCTCCCAACTTTGGCTCTGCAAAGTTCAGCATCTCAAGTACTGGAGGGGTGAAGGACAGAGGATGGAGATGTTGCCAGGGCAGCTATTCTAGCAGAGTAGCTCCAGGCGATGAAACCATTTGGAGGCTTTTCAAGTTGGCTGGTAAGATTTACTGTTTTGCAAAAGTCAGGGTTGCAAAATGCAAATTTGGAGCAGTGCTTTGATTGTTACCTTCCTGAGAGAGGAAGAGACCGAACTCTGTCCTTACTTGTTCCTGGCAAGGGACATGCTATGTGCAGAGGATGCAAGTGTGGAAAATGCTGCACTGGGAGCAGAGAGGGTTTGGTGTTGATTAGTTTGGTGAATTTTGGTTGAGGGGTTTATGTGCAGTTTGACTCAAAGATCTCAGCTAAGACTGCTCAACTGAGCTGATGGCACCAATTACAGCCTTTGTCCAGGGCAGCCTGTGAGCTGCTCAGACATCATGCAGGTGCTTACTGCCTCTTGGCCTTGAGGCATCTCATCCTGCATTCCAGCTGACTTCCTAGGTTCTGCTTTTTCAGAGCCTTTCAGGAGCCTTTAAGTGAGAGTGCCATGGCAGCTGTGGGGTTAAACATGCTCCTAGGAAGATGGGGGCACGTGGGAGCAGTTTCCTGGAGATCTACAAAGGTGCTTTTTGCCCAGGTTAAACTTGGCCTGTTTCATACGGCTTCTGAGATGCTGGTGAGCTATGCCACAAAGCCAGCTCTGAAGGCAAATTCCTTCTGCTTCTCCCTCCTAAACTCATGGACTCCTCTCTAATCTGAGTTACTCAGTCATGGATCAAGGTAGCAAAGCTCGTCCTTCATCCATCAGGGGTCTGGCCCATCTGATGAGGCTGGTTCTTGTGGGAAGGGGGTACGTGCTGGTGCTTTGGGGTGAGTGTCAGAGGTGAGCTCTCCATTTGCTTTCTTCCTCCCTGATGACTGGTGAGATCCTGCCTGGCTCTGCAGGTCATGCTGCTCCTTATTGCAATGGAGACCTCTGGAAGGATTTGGGGTAGGTGCTCAGTCCGTCATACAAATACCCTTATGTAATTCATTTCTCTCTGACAGCTTCAATGTATAAAAATGCCCTTCTCTTTTAGGAGTGCTAATGATTTTGTGTGTCCCCAACACTGAAGATCTTTCTGGGGAAAAAACCCCAAAACCCAGGCAATAACAACCCAACTGGAAACTTAAGAAACTCCATATTCTGAATAAGAATATTTTAACAGTGTTTAGAAATGCCCAAGGAGAATACATTGTTCCCTGCTCTGCCAGTGTCACCACTGAAACCATGCCAGCCTAATGCAGATATTTACAGCATGCACTGTATGAATGATGGAGGGCTGGCTTGTGTTTGCACATGCTAAAGTAGGGAGTGGTCAGATCCCTTCCTATTTCTTACCAAAGATGTAGAGTTTCTGCTCTTACAGGCTAAGAGGGGATAAGACAGGCAAATATTTCTACCAACCAAGTTTCACAAAAGGGATGACATGCTAGAGACCTCCACGGAAATTGTTGGTTGACTCCCTCCCACCAGGTGCAAGGAGGAGAACAGCAGTACCAAGAAGCTAAATGGAGGTGTAATGTGGTCATCAATAAGAGAATGCTTGTTTGTTGCCTTTTATTCTCCTTTTTATGCCTCTGAACTTCTGCAATTTCATGATACCACAACCAGGAGAAGGTGTTGGCATCATGAGGTTCCCCAGACACCTTCCAAGGTTGAGGCAGGTGAAACCACAGCTTGGCAACTGTTTTCTCTCCTTGTTAGCTGGATGGCTGCTGCAAGAGGTGCATCACTGTGCATGGCAAACACTGCACCAGGTCACTTCTGGGGAAAGGAGAGGCAACCAAGGATGGAGATCCTGAGCCTGAGTGCCAAGTGGATGGTATTAGAGGAGCCAGGGAGAAAAGATGGTCTTTGCTCAGCCCCTTTGGGCTGTTTCAAATTCCCCAGATTCCCATTATTACCACTAAAATGACAATGGTCTGCTAATACTCAGAGGAGCTGGTTATAAAGTTTAAGGCTATTCTGATCTCTTCTTGACTGGCTGCATAAAACATGTCATTGGTTTTTGCCCAGGAACAGAAAATAATTATATATATGTATTTATATTCTGTCCTTTCTCTGAATGTACTTACTTAGCCACTATCTGATCTTCCTTTTTATTGACAGCTACTTCAATTAACTTGGAAAGAGTGTTCAATGAACATAGGGCATCTACTCTAACCTTGAACTGCTGAATAAACCCCTCTGCAGAATTCCTTTCTCTGGGGTGGGATAAAGAGAAGAAAGGGCATAGGGGAACTGTATAAAATTTACTTTGCTTTCTTAAATGGCTTTTGTGATTCCCATTTCCCCTCTGCCCTGAATCATGGTAAAAGGTTTATAACTGAATGTCACAAAACAGAAAAACACATCCCCACACTTTCCCAGTCAGCTTAATACATTTTTCTGGATACCTTCAATTATTTCAAGGCTGTTATTTGTAGAAGCAGACAAACATGCCAAACCCAAAATACCTATATCATGCAAAAGAGTAAAAAAATGTAGTTTTGAAAGCATTCAAACATGACTTTGGAGAGGAGGAGGAATAAAGAATCATTCAAACTGCAAACTCAAGTAAAACACATTTTCCTCATAACAAAATTCACTTTGGATAACTTCACCATTTCTGAATGACAGAAGGTGTCAGTGAAAGTTCCTCTGTAGCTCTACCATGAAGGAGTCATGGGCAAGTCGGGGTGAGGTAGGACCTCAGGAGCTCCAAATGGAAGCAGATCCATTTCTTCAATGTTGGAGAATAACAGGTAGATGGGGATAGGTGTTGCTTTATCTCAGAAATTAGATCTCTCCTGGGCTGTGACAGACTACCAGTTTTATGGGAAGGATGTAGCTGATTTTATTTACAAACTCTGTAGGCTTTAATGAACATGTAGGATTTTAGAGTTCCAGGGCTGTAGAAGTCTTCAGATGAACTTTTCCAGTGCTATTTCAGCTTGCTGGCTGAGTATTAACCAGCCATGGAGGCAGTGATCCATGAAACTGCTGACTGGTGTGCAGTGAGCACAGGGAAAAGATATTTTAAAAACAAAACCCAAACAAAGCACACACACAAGCCTTTGACAGAGGTGCCCATCTTTATGCAGTTTGAAAAATTATCTGGGCTAATGTGTGTGTGTTGTGTGTAAAGGCATCTCCCCTGCGTGCACTGGCTGCTGCAATAGGTTAACCAAAAGCCAAAAAAGATGAGAAGAGCTGATTACAGCTTCCCTGCAAGTGGCCCAGCAACACAATAAATTCCTGTGGCCCATCTCAAATAGTCAGTCTGGGTGTTCCTATCTACCAAGAAGAAATGTGACATTGGGCCAGGCTACCTATGGAAGCTTGTCTAGATCTCTGTTCCAGCCTCTAGTTCCTGGTCAAGGAGGGACATTGGTTTGCTGTGCCCTCTCCCAGGTGGAGATATTGTCACAGTAAAAGCATGCCAGGCTCTGGCTTGGGGTCAGCTGGCAGAGGGACTTTTTGTGGTTTGAGACCCTGTTTCGTGTCTGTGACCTCATGTGTGCTCTTTGGCCTTGGGGCTGTCCCCTAACCTGGAGCTGGTGGGAGAGAGGGGCTTCTCCATGACACGTGCTTGCTGCACCCTCACCTAATGAAACTGGATAGCTTTTGGTAGCTGTGCAGGCACAGCTGGGGTTGTCTCTTCCTCACCAGGTCTCTGTGATCAGTAGGGAGTGTGAGGAGGTGGTGTTTGCTTGCTCTCTAGGCTGGTGTGGCTGCGCTGTGGCAGCTCAAAAAAAGTCCTCAAAAGTCACCTTGCTGCAGGTGCAGGGAGAGCAGATGATGTCAAAACAGTAAAAATTATATATCCTAGAGCAGGAGCATCTAAAGTAGTAAGAGACAAAGCTGATGAGGAAAATGCAGCAAAAGATTGTGGACAAAGCTGCTGTGTGATGGAATCAAGAGGTGAAATAAGGACTTGACAGAGAATGTATGAAAAGCAGGGTATGTGGCTAAGGCATGAAACAAATGCTGGTGGGACCTGTAGTTATGTGCTAAACTGGAGAGAGAGACTCAGAAAGGGAAGGAAGGACAAACATAAATTGGGCTGTGGGGAATGAGCTTTGGTTGTAAGCCAGGTGACAGCAGAGCAAATGTGTGGATCAGACAAGCCCTCTTGACCAAGGGATGGAGAAGGTACCCTCAGTCCCGTGGGAGGAGGGATCCAGATCATGCTGGGACTGGAAATAAGATGCATGATGTGGACATGAGTGTTCTGACAGAGGCAGTCCATAGGATGCACGGGTGTCCTTTGGGATGGTACTAAGCAGAAAGGCCATGCTCCCAGGGGATGGTAATGGGGAAGACAGAGCATGGACATGAGACGGGATCTAAAGACGGATGTTGTCTGGAGCCGTTGCTAGACACGTCCATGAACTGAGTGGAAACTGCAGGCAGCAATGTCTGTTTCTCATCTATTTGAAAGTGAAGCTGCAGCAGAGAGGTCTGACTACCTGTTCTTCCCATTGCTCGTTCCAGCCTCACCTTTGTCAAGATGCTTGGAGAGAAATCTGAGTGAGCGCTCCCCTGCCAGTGCACACAAGCAGCACTGCTCTGGTGGAGGCTGTGCAACCCTGAGAGATGCTCCCACTGCTCCTGCCGAAAGGCTGGCAGCAGATGGGCCCACGGGAGCCTTCAGGTCCACATCTGCTGGGGAGCGCCCTGCTGTAAGCACAGGCTGCACTTGCATGCACACACACACACACACACAGAGTCTTTTGAGCTGATTGATCCAGCCCTTGGCATGACAGGCTGGATTGTGGCACCCATCGGCAGCAGGGACAATCTATAGCTGGCAGGTGGGCACAGGGGGCTGGGGAAGGCTCCTGCCAAACCGGGCCCACCACAGATGTAAAAAGAGAAACAGCTGGGAGCCTCCCCTCCCATGCATCCCCACTCTGCTGCTGGTTTGGGCAAATATGGTATTTCTTGGAGGCATGCCCAGCTGGTGGAGAGCTTGAGGGAAACGAGGAGTGGAAGATAGCAAACCAGCTTTCACACTGTGCTTTCGGAACCACCGAGCAGTTTTGCTGTGTTAGTGCTTTGGGCAGAGCTGGAGGGGGGAGTGGAGGTGATGATACCAGGTCTGGCCATGTGTTCCCGTGCAGCTGCTGCTCTTCTCAGCAGCACAGGGTGCCCACCCATGTCCCCACCCCACCCATGTCCCCACCCCACCCAGCAAACTCCCACATGGAGCCAGGGTGCTGAGGATGGATGCACTGTCCCCCTCCCACCTGACAAATAACAAAAGCATTGGCTGGAGGTGGGTTGCAGGAGGGAGGTGAGGGGATAAGCTGCCAGACAGCTGGAAAAGACAAGCTGGACAGGAGATTCACATTACCTGGTGACTGGGAGGCTGCAGCACTGTGCTCCCACTCCACGGCTTTAAAAGCTTGTCTCTACATCCTCAGATGGGGACCCTTTCTTGCAAGCAGCAGGGAAAGAGTGGGCAGGAATCAATCTGTGACCTGAGCCAAAAATATCGCCTGCCCCACAGCTCCTGAACTTCTTCTCCACTCCTACAGGCGGGTAGGAAGGGGGTGCTGGAGCTGCCAGGCACTCAGGAGGGCACATGCTGTGCTGCTGGGGAGCCCTGCCAAGGGGAGAGGGGAGGGAGGGGATGGGAAGCTGAAGCCTGGGATATTTAGTGAAATGGAAACCGTGAACCAGAGGGTTGTGTGAGGCACTGCAATCCTCTGCTGGAATAGTCATGCAACTGTGGAGAGTGCTCTGGCAGCAAAACCACTCCAGGCACCCAGGCTCCAGCCACCTGGGGTTGCCCTCCCTAAGAAATCCTTACTTAAATAATGATTTCATGTCATGCTAAGAAAGGCCTACGAGCTCTTTTGCTTTCCTGCTCC